CACCATAGCCCCTTTGAGTGATTTACGTCCACACACAGTTCTGCACGTAATATCAAATGGTCTTCCACAGATCCCAGGGGAAGAACCTTCTGGCTTGGCTATTGGCTGCTTCAGAATATGTTGCCTCCATTTATTTTCATCCCCTTGGTATTCTCTGAACCTTCAGCCCACAAGCCTGTTAAAGACATCTTAGTTAATCCCCATATACTAAGTGAATCTCTGTAATTTTGGCTTTTCAGTCATGTTACCTAATTTAATAAACATGTTCATATGTTATGCAGGTAGTTGGGATGGAGACCATTCAAGTGCACATTTAGCTGTTGAGGTTAAGAAATACTTCTTCCTTTCTAGGTTCAGATCATCTTTGTTAAGATATCTAGCAAACCCAGCATTTTCTAGTGGTCTTTAAATGAGACAGTGGTTGAGATTAAGGTATCAGTGATTGTTCCAAACAAATAGGTGTTTGACAGTTGGTCCAAGAATTCTCTCCTTTTGCCTATGTGTGGTTTAGCCTTTAAACCTCTACAGTTTCTGCCCTGATTCCAAAGCCCCGTGTGGTATGTTTTTGATTTACGTGAAAGCCTGCTGTGGCCTGATGATGTGTGTACATACTCTCAGCTGTCAAGAGTTAGGGAGGTACAAGGTAGGAACAGAGTTATGTCTGTGATGAAGATCAAGACTATAGCAGTTACCTGAGCCAGGGGCATTAATTTATTGAGTCTATTTTGTGCAGGCACTGTGCTAGGTGGTAGAGAAAAAGTAATAAACAAGAAGGATGAAGACCCTACCCTTACAGAAGTTATTGCCTATTGAAGGAGAAACTTTAATAAAAAATTCACACATATGTAATTACTTGCTGTAATAGAGCTATTGAGGCAGGGTTAATAGTAAATCCCCATTGGCTGTAAAGAATGTTATCAAAGAAGTATATGCTGATATGAAGAAATGTAACTGGCAACTTACTTTAGGTTGGGGTCATAGGATGCTCAGAGACATGGTAGCATCAAGAACTGAAAACTTCATTTCTGAAAAATGTTGTTTTTCAAGTGTTGTTGTTGTTGTTATGTGCCTTCGAGTCAGTTCCA